TGACCCGAGCTCAGCACTTGGGAGCTCCATCATGGAAGAAGAAAACCCACCCACCGAAAGTTGTCCTCTGACCTCTGTACACAAGTATTGGTGTGTGGCACCATATGCTCCCCTATACACACACACACACACACACACACACACACACACACACACACACGTGCACACCACACCACACATGCACCACACACACACATACACCACACACATACCACACCACACACACACACACACATCATACATACACAGCATACATATACCACACACACACACACACACACCATACATACACAGCATACATACACACACACACACACACACACACACACACACACACACACACACACACACACATGAATGTAACCTAATTTTTTTTTGAAAAGTCCAGATATGTTGGCACATACCTTTAATTCTAGCACTTGGAAGGCAGAAGCAGAAGGATCTCTGTGACGAGTTCCAGGACAGCCAGGACTACATAGAGAGATCATATCTCAAACAATAATAATAACTAAAAAATAAACCCAACTTGCTTGCTATTTGGTTCTCCCTGAGATCCATTTCTTGTAGCCGTGAGTCTTGGCTTGGGTGGAGGTCTCAAGATGAACTCCTTAGGCACCGCTAGTGTGGTGTGGAGCCCTTGGCTGGTGACAGTGTCCCCCCTGCAGAGGCTCCACAGCCATCACCATCTGTTGATCAAGTATCCGAATACACGAGCCTGTGGAGGATATTTCAGATCTGAACTATAACAGAGCAGATGCCTTTTAAAACTTCTCTCACTCCCCTTCATTGATACCCCCCACACTGCTCTATTATCCCTAGTCCTGAGTGGAGATGGTCTCCAAGATGAGGAACACCTTGGTTACTAATGGGCAGGTGGCCTTGGCAGATTCGAAGATACACCAGCCCTTTTCCAATCACCCTGCCCTTGTATTTCCACTCTCCTTAAAACGACCCTGGCTTTTCAGAGCCAGAGACAGTAGCCTTGTTGTAAAGCGAGGCCTGAGGTCAGGGGAGAGTTTGCTCTGCTGAACCGCATTAAGCCTAGCAAAGCAATGTGATGGCTGGCTGTTGGAATTTACTTGGTGGTATAAAGCACTGGCCTGAGAGACGGACAGCCTCGGCTTTTCTTACTTCTGTGACCAATCTCGACTCAACAAGAAGCAACTTAAAAGAGGGAGGGAGGGTTTGTTTAGCTTGTGCTTCAAGGATAAATAGAATCCATCCCAGTGGGGAAGGCACAGTGATAGAGTGTTGAGGTGGCTAGTCACAGTCTGTCCATAGCCAGGAAGCTGAGACTGGGCAAGAAACGGGGCCATATTACCAAACCGAAAAATCCATCTCCAGTGGTTCACTTCTTCCAGCAAGGCTCCACCTCCTCCGGGTTCCACAACCTTCCAGAACAGCACAACCAACTAGGGACCAGTTGTTCAAACACATGAACCTATGGAAGACATTTAACATCCAAACCACAGTAGTAAGAAATGTTTTAGAGTTTTAGGAGTGCGGGTGTGGTGGTTTGAATCAGAAACATCCCCACGGCCCCAGGCATCTGAACTCTTGGTTCTCAGTTGGGGTTGCTGTTTCGGGAGGTAAGTTGTGTGGCCTTTCTGGAGGAAGGATGTCACTGGGGCAGGCTTGGAGAGTCAAAGACTTGCTTCTAGTTTGCTCTCTCTGTGTCGGGCTTGTGGCTGAAAATGTGAGGTCTAAGCTTCCTGCTCTTGTCGCTGTGTCTGATACCTGCTGTCCTGCTGTCCCGCTGTCCCGCTGTCCCTGCTGTCCCTGCCATATGGACTCCAAGGAGCTATAAACCAGAATAAACTCATTCTTCCATAAGTTGCCTTGGCAACTTGCCCACATCAGAAAGATCACACGAACCTATTTATTTCTGCAGTTGCTTGTCACATGAAAAGTTTCAGAGCTTTGTCAAGGATGGTGGTTCACACTTGAAGATCCGAAACCAAGAAGGCTGAAGCTGCCACTTCCTAGGAGCCTGGACTATGGTGCAAAATCCTGCTTTTTTTTTTTTAGCTTTTATTATGTGCTTAGTATTCAAGTCTGACGCTCCAAAGATCAATTCGTGAGATCCCTACCCTCTCAGGGCTTGCTGCCTAGGTGAAAAACCAAGTAAGTAGCCAACTAGAGGAGCGTTTTCTAAGTGCTATGACGTGAGTTCAGGGGAACGGAAAATGGAGCCAGGGAGCCAGGCTGGTGACTGAATTGGATCTGCCTGACTCTGAAGTCCACATTTCTTCAGTAGTGTGTGTGTGTGTGTGTGTGTGTGTGTGTGTGTATGAGAGACAGACAGACAGACAGACAGACAGAGATAGACAGAGACAGAGACAGACAGACAGTCAGACAGAGACACTTTCCAGTGCTGGTCTGGCACTGTAGCCACTTGGCTCAGGAGAGGGGAGAGTGCTAACCACGGAAAGCATGGTGGTTAATCTCACATCTCAATATTAGAACCAAGGCGATAATTTGGAGAGCTTTCCTCAAATCACATTGTTATCCCGACTCCCCAAATCTCCTTTCCAGCCTGGAATACTTCTATCCAGAACAAGAACCCTCATCAACCATCACCACTGTGAGCCTTTGTTTGTTTGTTTGTGTGTTTGTTTGAGACAGGTCTTCTCTGTGTAGCCCTGACTGTCTGGGAACTTGCGCTATAGATCAGGCTGGCCTCGAACTCACAGAGATCCACCTGCTGGGATTAAAGGCACATGTCACCACTCCCTGGTTGCCACCTGCCTCTTAACCTACATCCCTCAAAAATCAGCTCAAATATTAGTTGTCCTGTGACCACACACCTTTTTCTCTAGAAGGTGTATACGGTGTCCCCTCTGAAGTTATTTATGCCTGCATTAGACTTTTCAGTGCTTGTCATAATAAAAGGACACCACCATCCATCCTAGACTCTTCTAGACTCCAGATCCTCAGTTACATAGTTTATTTCCAACAGTCGGTCACAAGAACTTGGTTTGTGTCACAGGATCTCCTTTCTATCCATCTTTCTCCTGTGTGTACCCCAAAGCCTTGGGTTCCCTGACATGCTCTGCAGTTCAGGAGGGGGCAGGAAGCAGAACCAGCACGCAAAAGGCAGCTGGAGTTCTTCCCTGGGTCCTGATTTTGTACCTTCAAAATGGATTCACTAACTCCCCTACTCCCACGCTTATTGAACTACCCGAGCGAGGGTTTTGATGTTAGCAGTGCAAATGATGCTTGTATAAAATAGAGAGGAGGAGCTCCCAGGAGCATCGCTGAGCTGCCTGGAAGGGGGCTGTACAGAAAGAGCCCCCCACCCCACCCCGCAGCTTGAGAGCAGAGGCCTGCTGGGGAACTCCCAACTACCACAGCATGTCATAGGAGTCCCTGGCTGTGTCAGAGTGTCCTGCTGGAAGGAGCCAGTGAAGTCATGGGGCCCTCCCCACCTAACAGAAAATTGGTCTTGTTAGATTTTATTTCATTTTTAAAGATTTTATTGTCTTATGTACAAATGTTTCGCCTGTCTTTGTGTATGAACACCACATATGTGCCGGCTTGCTACCTAAAGAGGTCAGAAGAGGGCATCTGATTCCTTGGTACTGGGGTTACAGACTGTTGTGAGCCTCCATGTGGGTGCTGGGAATTGAACCCAGGTCCTCTGCAAGAGCAGCCAGTTCCCTTAATGGCAACTCTCCAGGCCCCTGCCTTGTTAGATTTTAGACGGTCGTGGGCTGAGTCCCCACGGAAAAGAATGACAAGCGTGAAGAGAACTAAAAGGCCTTTGCTTCCCACATCTGGTCTGTTTCCTCTTGAAAGTATTCCAAACACTGAGAAGCACACCAACCACCCAGGTACTCCCTCCACTTCTCTGCCAGCCCAAGGTAGCTTTGGCGGTTGCGACTCAGAGGTGGAGGCAGGGAGATGAGCCTGGAGTTTGAGGGCAGCCTGGGCAACACAAGACTACATTTCAAAATAAAATTTTTATATATGAGAAAAGGTCAAAGCAGACGTTTTAAATATTCAATTTTGGAAGCTGGGCAGTGGTGGCTCATGCCTTTAATCCCAGCACTTGAGGAGGTGGAGGCAGGAGGATCTCTGTGAGTTCAAGGCCAGCCTGGTCTACAGAGCAAGTTCCAGGACAGCCAGGGGTACACAGAGAAACCCTGTCTTGAAAAAACGAAAATAAAAGAAAACAAACAAACAAACAAAATTCAATGTAGGGGCTGGAAAGATGGCTCAGTAATGAACAAACATTAGGCAGCTTACCACCTGTAACTCCAACTCCTCAGGCTCTCATGCCCTCTTCTGGCCTCCTCGGGCACTGCACTCACATGCACAACCTCACCCCCACTGTGTGTGCATAATTAAAAATTACTATTTCTTATGACAGGGTCCAACTTGCTATGTAGCCAAGGCTAATCTTGAACTCTTGATCCTTTTGCCCCCCCTTCCCATGTACTGGGAGTATAGGTGCTAAGTTATGCTTATTTATTTATTTATTTATTTATTTATTTTACATTATTATTATTATTATTATTGTTTGTTTTTTGAGACAGGATTTCTCTGTGTAGTTTTGGCGCCTCTTTTGGATCTCACTCTGTAGCCCAGGCTGGCCTCGACTCACAGAGATCCACCTGGCTCTGCCTCCCAAGTGCTGGGATTAAAGGCATGCGCCACCACCGCCCAGCAATTATGCTTTTTAAAAAAATCAGTTTAAAAAGTAATTAAGATATTTGAAAATAAGGCCAGATGTTTACATACTCCATTATTTTTCTAATAAAATACCTCTGACTTCAAACAGCTCAGCTTTCATTGTAAGAAGAGTGATTTCCCAAGTGACACTTATCTGAACAGAGCAAGTGATCCCATAGTCACACTTCGGAAGCTACTGGGACTTTCGAGCGCAGATGTCAGGGCTAAGGAACAGGCACTCTTCTCCACCTTAGACTTCAGAGTAGATTCAATAATTAGTTTTATTTTGTTTTATTTCTTTTAAACATCTATAATAGCATATTGGCTAATGTGAGTCATTCTTTCTTTGAGTACATTAGCTGTGAAAACACATCTTAGTCTGCCCCTCCTCCCAAAGGTTTGAGGGTCGGAAATGCAGGTGATTATCGGGACTGCCTTTGATACCAACATCCTTCTCTCCTGGGAGCCCTTTGAACTGACTTTGATATGCGATAATTAAGAGGGATTCCTGCCTGGAGGAGCCACCGCTGTGGCCCTGCTTCTGGTCTCCTTCCACTGAGTCCTTGTTTTGAACTATTGATCAAAGATTTGAAGGGATCTGTTGTAGCCTGTGTGGGGTAAAGAGGAAGGAAACAAGTGGGTTGTAAGGGAGAAGAGGGGCCACATCTGGCTATAAATAGTTTCAGAAAAGCATGCTGGTCAGACCCGGCCTGTCTCATTTAACACACAGTCCTTGGGCAGATTCGCTTCTCTTTCAGAAAAGGCTGCTGCAGGCGACTTGCACATTGCACGCAGGACCACTCAGCCTAGCCTCAGAAGACGCAAGGGGTACTGGGAACTCCGGAGAGACCTGAGTGACTGAAGGATGGTACTGGTGGCCTTGCTTGGACTCAGCTGGTTCTGTTCACCCCTGGGAGCTCTGGTTCTGGATTTCAACAACATCAAGAGCTCTACTGATGTGCAAGGTGCTGGGAAGGTAAGTGCAGCCAGAGCGAGGCAACTCTGAGACCAACTGCAATGGTAACATTGTATCAGGCAGGACACCCTCACCTCTATGTGAACTGATGCAGGACTGAGGTTGCAAGGAAATCCATTTTCTCTCGTCATTGACTATTAGCACAGACCTGTAATCCTATCACTCCGGAGGCAGAGAATGCAGAATAGGGAGCTGAGAGTGAGCCAGAGGCCAACCTGGACTGCAGATGAAACCTCTCAAAAAGCCAGGGAAAGCTAAAGGCAATAAAGTGGGTTTCTTTTTTTTTTTTTTTTTCTGAATTTGTCTACAAATCAGTGTATAATGAAAGCGGTACCATGTGCTAGGCCTTGATGATCATTTGTCTTCCTCACAACCTGAGATAGGCATAGCTTTCTATTCAGCAGTGAAGACAAGAATTTGGACCAAGGCTACACAGCACGTATGTAGGAATTAAGACTTAAACGTATTAGGACATGACACATTATTGTAATAATCTACTTGGCAGAATTGTTTTAGGGGTTGCTATCATTTATGCATACTATACATTACACTATATGTGGTGTGTACACTGTACACGTAACAAAGGACAGCTGGGGAGGAGTGGGTGCGTGACAGTGGGACCGTCTGTCATAGATCTGTCATCTGTAAGAGACATAGGAAAAACTTTTCATGAAGATCACGAGAGTATTAAATTCTGGGTTTTGAAGTAAACCGGGATGGAGCATGGTTGGTTCATAATTGATTAAAGACAAGTTTTCAAACACAAGCTCCGTAGCAACCAAGGTCTTCTCACAGGTAGTTTGATATCCTCTTTTTTGGAGAAAACTAATTACCCTGAAAAATTAAGATGGTGCCCAAAACTTGCCACAACACCTCAACATTCCCCCACCCCTACCCCAACCCACGGGTTGGATAAAGACCTCTTAGGTCTCATTGGGTTTGCCAGCCTGTGACAAGTTTTCCTTCACAGGGCTCACAGTGTGCATCAGACAAGGACTGTAACGTAGGAAAATTCTGCTTCGAGCTGCATGATGACAAGTCATTCTGTGCCACATGCCGCCGAGTTCGAAGGAGGTGCCAGAGGAGTGCCATGTGCTGCCCAGGAACGGTCTGTGTGAATGGTGAGCAAAGCTGGGACTCCAAGCCACGGGGGCTGCAATCTGAAGGCATCATTGGAGTCACATAGGCCAGGACAGTCCGTGGGAGGCAGGTCCTAGGGTGTTCTTGGATCTGGGTGAAGTAAATTTGTACAGCTGTCTTTTTTGATGAAACAATTTATTACCTGTCAACACCTTTTACCAGTGACATGAATAAAATGATTTTAAAGGACAGGTTCAAGGTAGACTGGTTTGAATCTTTCCATTTCCACTTCCATTTTATTAATCAATTATTTTATTTGCTGTATGTAAACATATATGTACGCTCACATACATGTGTGTATGAGACATATAGTGTGTCAGAAATATAAAATATTGTAGAATGGAAGGTAGAGGTGCTACCAAATTAGCAATCCGGTAACTGCATGCCTGTATTTCTGGGCCTCGGTTAGTAACGCTAATTAAAGCTGGTTGTCTGTCCCTCAGATGTCTGCACTGCTGTGGAAGACACAAGGCCAGTAATGGACAGAAACACTGAGGAGCAAGTTGGTACCTATGCAGAAGGAACCAGCAAATGGCCCACAGAGGAAAACAGACTTCAGGGGAAGCCCAGTGCTAAGAAATCACAAAGCAGTAAGGGTAAGGCCATCATTCTGAGCAGATTTTATTTTAAAAACCATGTTCTCTCTCCCAGCCCCACAGGCTAAAACTAGCTTTCTTTTCCATCCCATACCTGTGCTCTTGGAACAACTCATGAGACTCTGCTGGCCAGGACAGGGCAAGCCCCTAGTAATAGGTGCTTAGGAAGAAAAACTTCCAGTGTTCAATTACACACACACACACACACACATTCACTATGCTTGGGGTATACCAAGTGCCACTTCCCATTTCTAGAGCCTCGGCATACAAAGCAGATGAAAATAAATACATTCACTCCAACCTTGTACAACATACAAAATGGATTGTTGTTGTTTCAAGATAGGGTCTATGCAGCTCTGGCTGGCCTGGTACTCACTATGGAGACCAGGCTAGTCTGGGACTCAGAGATCCAACAGCCTCTGCTGGGATTAAAGGGGTTTGCTGCCACACTTGGTGATTTTAAAGTCTCAAATTCCAGTCTTTGAGATAACAGACTATTGGAAAGTGATATGGCAAAGTGGCTTTTCCTGCTCATGCCATTGGGCTGGCTGTTCCCTGTGTAAGAAAAGGATCCCACATTCACCGAAAATTACATTAGCAAAGCTTCGTGGAGTGCTGCTTATTTCCCAGGCCTGGGAATCCCTTCTTGATGCCTTGACTTTAGTAGACAAATAATAACAATAGTAACTATTACTATTATTATTCTAGGCAGGGCTAGAATTTCCCCTCATTGTGTGAGACCCATGGGTCCTGTTGGCTGTTGCTATTTTTAGCCTTCATTCCTAGATCCCCAAACTCATGCCACTAGAACAACACGCACCCCCTTAACCCACCTGCTGCCATAGCAATGCCGCCCATTTGCCACTAAAACCCGTGTCTGACCCGTTACAGGACAGGAGGGAGAAAGCTGTCTGAGAACTTCCGACTGTGGCCCAGGACTTTGCTGTGCTCGACATTTTTGGACAAAAATTTGCAAGCCAGTTCTACTAGAGGGGCAAGTCTGCTCCAGGAGAGGGTATAAAGACACTGCCCAAGCCCCGGAAATCTTCCAGCGCTGCGACTGTGGTCCTGGACTGTCGTGTCGAAGTCAGGCGACTGGTAACCGGCAAGAGACAAGGCTAAGAGTGTGCCAAAGAATGTGAGTTGTAAAAACATGGGACTCCTCGCGCTCACACAGCAAGACACTAATTTTATTATTGTTAGTTTTTATTTTGGTTTTCAGACAGGGCTTCACTGTGTAGCCCTGGCTGGGCTGGAACTTGCTGTCAGCCTGGCTGGCCTTGAACTCACAGAGATCCGCCTGCCTCCATCTCCACTTTTTGGGGTAGGGGGAGGAGTTTTGAGACAGGGTCTCAAAGTAAGCTATGTAGCCCAGGCTGGCCTCAAACTCACGATCCTCTTACGCTCCAGGCTTGGGATTACTGACGAGCACCACCACACATAGCATATATATAACACCAAATCCGGCAACTGAAACACACAGCCACCAGAGTACTATGGGGTGCTACACTGTGAACTGCTTTTGGCTTTTTTCCTCCTGTCTAGAATACTGACATGATTCTACAATAAAACAATTCTGATACAGCCAATCAATCTGTTCAAATAAATCTTTTTTAAAAATTGAAATTGTATGTGGGTATACAACATACAACATGATCTTCTGATATACAGTAACTGCCTACCAAACAAACTAGTGAATGTGCCCGTCCCCATAGTCACGAGTCACTTCAGGTGGAGGGCTGCTGCTTCTGAGATGAAGCCCACACCTAGTCTTCTGGTTACTAGTTCGTACTGCAAACAGAAAACGGGCCAAACAAAAAAGGTTCACTGATGCAGGCCCCTTGCTTCTTCTCTCTCTTTTAGACAGGGTCTCACCATTGTAGCTCTGGTGTCCTGGAACTCACTCTGTAGACCAGGCTGGTTTTGAACTCAGAGAACTGCCCATCTCTGCCTCCTGAGTGCTGGGATAAGGGTGTGCGCCGTCACGCCTGGCAGCCCCCAGTTTCCTGAGAATATTGAACCAGCTTCCAGAGGCAGCCCCTGGGAAAGCCAAGTGACTTGTGGAGAGTAAATACGAGACAGTAGAGGAGAACATGGTTGCAATGTAAGGCAGAAATAAAAATTCCACTGAACATTTCCTATCACCTCGGCTCTTACTTTCCTCTACTAAGCCCATGGTAAGCTGTGCTCATAAACATAACATTAAATTTAAGCACGCTTGCTTTTAAGAAAATCAGTATCCTACAATAGCTCAAGAGTTTTATTGATTACAGTACATGGTAAGCACAGAGAAGAAGCAATCACTTAAAAACACCAGAACCCTTACATAGCAAAGGTTAAGAAATAAATTAGGACTCCGAGTGGGATATGCCGGGTGTGTGTGTGTGTGTGTGTGTGTGTGTGTGTGTGTGTGTGTGTGTGTGTGTGTGTGTGTCATCATTCACTTCTATCCTTGGGCTCCCGGTAGCGCCACTGGATGTAATCAAAAATGTCCTGCTCGCTGTCCACTGGAAGGGGCTCCCCAGCAACTCCTGCAGGTAGGAAAAAAGGAAAAGGAACTAGTTTGAGAAGTTGGTTACCGCAGACTGAGCTCACCTGGCCTGCGGGACTCTATCAGTGGTTCAGGCTGACTCAGCATGAACAACTCTCCATTTCCAGCACAGGGAAAGTAACTAAGGCGCCTGGAAGAAGTTCCTGCCGGCCTGCCTCCACTTTCTGACACGGGCCTGCATGCTGCATGCATGTTCTGTCACAAGTTACCAGTGCTAACAGAGACCGGGTATCCTGGCAGTGGCCAGGAAAGCCACCCTAGCTCATGATTTCCTTTTTTTTCTCGATCTCTACTGTACCGTCATACAATAGTCTTGAGGGGTTTTTTTTTTCAACTCAGACTATGGTTCTTAAGCTAGCAGTAATGGCATCACTTAGAAGTTTACCAGAATTATGGACTCTTGAGGCAGGTGTCTCCAAAATTAAATCAATGAAATGAAATTCAGATGCTTGAGTGCCTATGAAATAGAACTCACATCTAATGAGGACCTAAGTGAACTGCATGCATGTTTAAATGTGAAAAGCAATGCTCCAGTCTACATGAGATAGAAGCCCTGCTTTATGTAACATTAGGACAAAACGGTAAACTCCATTCTCCCAGTTGACACTGTTAGTCAACTACACAGTAGACTGTGACATGTTAAACAAGATCTACAGAGATCAATCAATCCTGACTTTAAAAACCACCATATTCACTTACTAATTTTGTGTGTGTGGTGTAAACATGTGTATGTCTACCTGTGGGTATGTGTGTGCCTCAGGGGGCACGTGTGGAAGATAACGGATTTTAGGAACCCGTTCTCCTTCCACCACGTGGGTCCCAGGAATCAGCACAGGCTTTGGGAAGGGCTCACCTGCCGAGTCATCTCACCTACGCTTTAAATCGTAAAGCATGAGGTGAAAATCATTACCTAGGAACTATTCTGTAAATTTTTGTTTTATTCTCCCCTATGGGTGTGGGGGTGGTGGGGATGGCACCTAGGTCCTTATAACATGCTAAGAACATGCTCTATTAACTGCTATAGTCTCAGTCAGCAGTTTTCAGTGATCCTAAGAGAACTTGGGGAGGTCTTCACAAGTCTCAGAGATATAGCAAAATAAAACCTTTTAGATCAGTAAGATCTTTTAATGAGCACCCTAAGTAGCTAAGAAGGATTAATCCTTTTCCTCCTGCTTCGCCGGGGTCAAACCCAGGGCCTCATATATGCAAGGCAAACACTGTCCCAGCTACGCTGTGTCTATTCTAACAGAGCTGGAAATGACTTTTGCCTTATTCACCATCAACTGAGGCCTTAAAAGTATCTTTTATTTCCTGTGGGATTAAAAACAGAAAGGAGCTACAATTAAATGGCAGGATCACTAAAAGTCTTCTTAGAAAACTGTTTATTATCTTAAAACACCTCATTTTTGAGAGGGGGGCTCACGTAGCCTAGGCTGCCCTCAGACTTGCTGAGTAGCCACGGCTGATCCAACCTCCAGACCCCCCAAGGCTGGGATTACAGGCACAATGGCATATGCTTACAACCCCAGCTAAAACATCTTCGGAAACAACTGTCTCTCTGGATGAAAGAATTATTGCTAAGGCAGTCACAGACACTCACCAGTAACCCCCAAGGGGCGGATGGTGTATTCGTTGATTGTGAAGCCCTTTTCTAGGGCGTGAGCTCTCATATTCTTATTAAAGATGTCACTCCCGGTGAAGTAGAGAACACCACAGTAATACTGATCTTTGGGGATCAACCTTAGAGGGGAAAATTGTTTTTAACCACATATTTCAGGTTTAGCAACTACAGGTTTTCTAAAATCAGTAAAATCAGAATACCTACAGTAAGTCTATGTGGCCCCATAACCTAAGAAAAGCAGGGCGTTAGGCTGATGTTTGATGACTGTCTCATGACCCAGGCTTGCAACTGGTCACTACGGCTGCTGCAAGCTGCTCTTCCTTCCTATGGACCCACAGGGCACCTAAAACCAAGACTGCCTTCGTCTTGTGCGTTCTGCTCTACTCTAACCCTTGTCCCTAGCCTCTTGAGTCACTTGGGGTTCCAGAATGGGGGACCCTCAAATAGCGCAGGTCCTCCTTCTGACAAGGGCAATCACTCAGGAGGCTGCGGCTGCACTCGGGAGCAGAAATGACCATCTCTCAAGAACCACATGGACTAGTCTGCAGGACCAGAGCAGACAGTGATGGACCTAGGGCCACACCCTTTCCAGACTGCTTACTGTGCACGCCTCGCCTCCCTTGGTCCCTGCTCCAATTCTTCCCCATTTAGAGCTGGGATGTCAGCAGCTTGTATCGGTCCTTCCCGGAGCAGACACAAGGAGACCATCTCTCCAAGCTTCTCACCAGTACTTGTCTTTATCTGACGTATGAGGACAGGCAGCTGAGTCCAGGCTACTAGAGCCTGGGCTTTTACCTCCAAACTCAGCTACACACCACGAAGTAATAAAGGTGTGTATGAATGAACAGTAGCATCTACTCATTACAGCACGGGAGAGCACTTCAGCTATGGCCGGTGTTCTGCTGAGGGGCAAATCTGGAGAAGATGGCATCTGGGGATGTTCCCCATTCTGGACACAGTTCCGTCAACACTGTATGTCATAGGAATTGATCATCCCTTAATAAAGGTGGCTCTACCTATGTATGTAACCTTAAGCAGACGAGTGAAAAGGCTCCAACAAACACAATCTGAGTCATCATACCTGATGTCAATTCTTCTGTGTGGATATTCCTTTCCATCACTTTTGCTGGGAAGCTGGCAAACACCCTACATGGAGATTTCGAAGAAAGTTTAGACAGCGTAAACGTGAACGTGAGCAGCAGTCCTGGGGTTCTGAGCACTTCGGTCGTAGCAGCATCTCTGAGCTCTGCATGGAGACCAGGCTGCGTCCTATACACTCACTGTGCTGCTCTAGGCTGTGTGGGACAGTGGCTTTCAGACTGCCTTGCCCTGAGTGACTCTTGCCCTGGGTGACTCCATCTTAGAAGCAGCATTTGGCTCCATTCCGAGTACAAATGCAGAGGCAGCACAACTGTACTCCCTTGGGCACCGAGAGACCGCCCCCCTGCCCAGTACCACCCATGAGGGACAGACTCACTCCTACAGGTGAAAAAGTCTCACTTGTAAACCTACCAAGAAGACTGGAAACATATGGGCACACGGATTGTTAAAACTATGCCAGGAATCCAGGCCTGAAACGTCAATCAACCAGCGTCCCACTGACTTGTTGCGTCACTACTGGGCACGTGTCAAAGGATGGACTCCACTGCTTGATGGGACATTCCCATCGTCTCCGATGTGTTCACCTGCCGGTCCCTCCCTCCACACCTAGTCCTGGGCCCTGCCCTGGGTGTCCTGGTGCTTCTGCAGCTCGGCCTGACCCCATGACTACTCAGGTCTGTCCACTCCCAGCAACTCCCTAGGTGGCTCTGTTAGCATTTCATTTAACCAGCGGGGGACGGAAACTGCAAGGTGAACCACAGCCCGTGAGAAGCCTCTCTGTGGTTTGTAAACATTATTATTAGTCAGTGAATTGGACACTGTAGTAAGACATGTTTCTGATATGATATGGCGTGCCCAGGGCAGGATGTACGACCTTAACCTTCTCACTGTATTCAGAGTAACTAACGAACCACAGGGAGGGCCAATGAGGATTCTGCTTCTAGGAGTTAGCCTTTGCAGGTTCTAAACTAGAGATTAGTCAAGGAAAGCACCCAGCATGAAAGACGGAGGTCAAAACAAATAGGAAAAAGAACCGCAATAAATAGTGACTAGGCACAAAGCAAACAAACTGAGAGAAAGCTGCCAGTAATACTCGAAAAACAGAAGATCATCTGACTCACAAGGCAAGCGGGATATTACAGACGAAGACTACTCAAGAAGAGTTTATATGACAT